TTGACTAGGTGACCTCCATCCCCCTTTTTTTTGCCCCCTATGTTTGCCACCCTTCGACCGACGGGGGGCCCCTGGCAAAAAGATCGTTAGCGGGGATCTAGAAATGGTACACCGATGCCGCTTATCGATTCTAATTTACCGGAAAGTCATTATCGCGCTAAAAACTCCCTATTTCCTTTCCATAATTTCGCCTCGAATTGGATCTGGACACTCGGTTATCCCAATGTGGATATTCTGGGATTCGATGGGTTTTCGGATTTTTGGGAGGAGGGATATTGATATTAGCGTTGTATTTTTTCTTTTTTTCTTTTTTTTTTTTTTTGGTTTTGTTACTATTATATACTTTCCTTTCGACGAAAAGAAAATTATATGCAGAGTTACGTTTCTTCCTTTAAATGGAATTGAAAGTTTAATTATAAAATTGTGTCTAGGATATGATGAAGAGGGGTGGTAGGTTATAAATTATATTTTTCAAAGTATGGATGAAATATTTTCTGGGAGGAAGGATTTTTTGGGGAGGGGGGTATTGATATTAGCGTTTTTTTCTTTTTTTTTTTTTGGATTTGTTACTATTATATACTTTCTTTTCGACGAAGAGAAAATTATATGCAGAGTTACATTTCTTCCTTTAAATGGAATTGAAAGTTTAATTATAAAATTGTGTCTAGGATGTGATGAAGAGGGGTAGGTTATAAATTATATTTTTCAAAGTATGGATGAAATATTTTCTGGGAGGAAGGATATTTTGGGAGGAGGGNTTATATCTAGGATGTGATGAAGAGGGGTGGTAGGTTATAAATTATATTTTTCAAAGTATGGATAAAATATTTTCTGGGAGGAAGGATTTTTTAGAAGGAGGAATATTGATATTAGCGTTGTATTTTTTCTTTTTTTCTTTTTTTCTTTGGATTTGTTACTATTTACTTTCTTTTCGACGAAGAGAAAATTATATGCAGAGTTACCTTTCTTCCTTTAAATGGACTTGAAAGTTTAATTATAAAATTGTGTCTAGGATATGATGAAGAGGGGTGGGAGGTTATAAAATAAATTTTTCAACGTATGGATGAAATATTTTCTGGGAGGAAGGATATTTTGGGAGGAGGGATATTGATATTAGCGTCGTATTTTTTCTTTTTTTCTTTGGATTTGTTACTATTTACTTTCTTTTCGACGAAGAGAAAATTATATGCAGAGTTACCTTTCTTCCTTTAAATGGACTTGAAAGTTTAATTATAAAATTGTGTCTAGGATATGATGAAGAGGGGTGGGAGGTTATAAAATAAATTTTTCAACGTATGGATGAAATATTTTCTGGGAGGAAGGATATTTTGGGAGGAGGGATATTGATATTAGCGTCGTATTTTTTCTTTTTTTCTTTGGATTTGTTACTATTTACTTTCTTTTCGACGAAGAGAAAATTATATGCAGAGTTACCTTTCTTCCTTTAAATGGACTTGAAAGTTTAATTATAAAATTGTGTCTAGGATATGATGAAGAGGGGTGGGAGGTTATAAAATAAATTTTTCAACGTATGGATGAAATATTTTCTGGGAGGAAGGATATTTTGGGAGGAGGGATATTGATATTAGCGTCGTATTTTTTCTTTTTTTCTTTGGATTTGTTACTATTTACTTTCTTTTCGCCGAGAAAATTATATTCAGAGTTACGTTTCTTCCTTTAAATGGAATTGAAAGTTTAATTATAAAATTGTGTCTAGGATGCGATGAAGAGGAGTGGTAGGTTATAAATTATATTTTTCAAAGTATGGATGAAATATTTTCTGTGATTGAGAAAATAATTTGTACAAAAAAAAAGGATAATTGTTAAATATTTCCAGGCAAAATTTTCCAAGTATAAAGTCATAATGAATATTCTAATTATTTATATTTATTATCATAAATATCGTGTTAAATAGGAATCAGTGAAATATCAAATTTCAGCCTCTTTGAGGCAATTTTATCATTATGCAAATAGCGATAGTGTTAAATTCCGGCGTTAGTTTAATCTTGGATCCAATCGGTGAAACAATTCCGATTTTGCCTCGGCTCGATTCGAGCACGTTCAATCATGCATATTATCGATCTAATCTTATCCAACAACGATTCCAAATAAATATTAACGAACCAACGTATTATATCTATAATCGTATCTTAATATAATTCCTCGTGATCGACGAATCGTCTCTCGATGATCGCGAAGTCGAAACGTTGTAATCTGAAATCCGATCTGCGAGAAGTCGTGATTATTCTAATGCATCGAGCCAAGCAAGAGGGTGAATCGCATCGAATCGACTTGATATTCATCCTCGAACCGCTTACAAATTGTATTCTCAATTTTCACGAGCCAGCCTTGTGATTTGACCCCGGCAGAAGCTTAATGCAGCGTCCACATCGGTCACCCCAACTCTTTTCTTCTTATTCTTGTCGAATTCTTGTGGAATACATCAGTGATTCGAAATTTTTGGAAAATTTTGAAATTTAGAATCCACCAAAAAGTATTCGAGACCCTCTCGAGATGCATTGTCATTTTTTTTCTGAAAATTTTGGAACCTGGGATGAATTTCTATGGGATGAAAACTTTATTAAAGTCTATTCACATAATTCCAAATACCAAAGAAATTTTTCAATACCAATTTAATTTTTCAACCAAAAATATTATCGAAATATCTTTCTTCTCCCCCATCTCCAATTATTTTCCAATCATTCTCCATCTTTTGTATATCGTTCACAGAAACATTTTAATCGATCACATAATAAACAATCAGTATTATAAAAATAAAAATATCCATTATCCATCGCCAATTTCTAACAATCCAACAATCTTTAACCCGAATCACTGCTTTCCCAAGCAATCTCCACCGATATGGACGCAGCATAAAGATCCACCGATCCTACAATCGTTGGAGAGGGGAGAGTGGAGGGTGGGTGATTTTTATCGAGACAGGGAGAGGAGCCGAGCCGATTTATACAGGGTCCGAGCGTCGAGTGGACCATTAAATCGTAAACCTGTGCAATTACATCCCGATCTGCCCGCGTTTGATGATGTTGATTCAAGCCACGCTCCTCCAAGATCGTCAAAGATGCCGTTTATTATTCGTGACGGTCGATTAGTCGACGAATAGCGCGACAGAGGCGCCTCTTTATCGGGAGTTTGCTGTTCGAGTGGTTCGAGGAATCGGGTGGAGAGCGAGAGGACTTTGAGGGAGATTGAAACGCCGAAAGAGGCGAGCTATTGGCAGCCATCGGTGTCTGTCTTGTTTGGAATTTAAACGAGTAACGATGGGGGATGGAGGGGGCTCGATGAGATGTGTACGATTGATTTTGTTTTCTCTTCCCATGATTGTGCTTGTAATATTCATCGGCGAAGAAATTATCGCGTACAGAAACGGAAGAAACGTCTTTTGTCGTGTTTTAATCCTCGTTGAAATAACGAGGGAAGATGGAGAAGGATTGGAGGCGTGTGATTTATTTTCTAAGTAATTAAATATTTTTAAATAATAGAAAAAGATTCCTTCCGTCTGATAAAATATCAAGAGGTATCGAAGAAACGAAAAATTAATCATACACTGCTCCATCTTCCCTCGTTATTTAATTTTTGTTAAAACGAATCGATAGTTTGAGCTTTTGATTAATTTTATTCTCATCGAGTCTTGTTAAATATTTAGCAGCCGAAGATTTGTTGATATGGAAA